GAACAAGAGGAACCACAAACTTTGCAGATAAAAGAAGAGCAGCAAAAGCCAGAATATCCCTGGACAAAAAATGAAACCATGGAGTTCCCCATAAGTGAGCATGAAGAGCAGCTTGGTCTGAAGCAGGAGACCGGACATATGGGAGAGGAACCACTCCCCTGTTTGACATGTGGAGAAAGATTTCTAAAAAAAGAACATTTAATAGATCACATGAAAACTCACGCAGGTCAGAAGATTTATGAATGTCTGTCGTGTGGAAAAAGCTTCAGAGAAAAAAGCACTCTAAATAAACATATCAGAGTTCACACAAATAAGAAGCTGTTCTCCTGTACAATTTGTGGCAAAGGTTTTGGTCAAAAAAGTGATTTAACTAGACATACGACAACTCACTCAGATGAAAGACCTTTTTCTTGTAAGACCTGTGGGAAAATGTTCAAAAGAAGAGATTTGGGGATTAAACACATGAAAACTCACACGGTGGGGAAGATTTATGAATGTGTGTCCTGTGGAAAAAGCTTCCCTAAGAAATCTCACCTTGATGTACACATGAGAGTTCACACATGTGAGAAGCCTTTCTCCTGTATGAGCTGTGGCAAAAGTTTTACAGAAAAGGGTAATTTGACAAGTCACATCAGAATTCACACAGGTGAAAAGCCTTTTACATGTATGTCCTGTGGGAAAAGCTTCACCTTTAAATCTGTTCTCAATCGACACATGAGAACCCACACAGGTGAGAAGCCATTCTCCTGTACGCTTTGTGGCAAAAGTTTTACACAACATTGTAATTTGGTTTGTCACATGACCATTCATTCAGATGAAGGACCTTATTCTTGTAAGACTTGTGGAAAAATATTCAAAAGAAGTGATTCAGTGTATGAACATATGAGAACTCATACAGGGAAGATTTATGAATGTCTGTCCTGTGAAAAAAGCTTCACCTTCCAATCTGCTCTTAATCGACACATCAGAGTTCACACCAGCGAGAAACCTTTTGAATGTTTGTCCTGTGGAAAAACCTTTAGATTTAAATGTAATCTTAATGAACACATCAGAATTCACACAGGTGAGAAGCCCTTCTCCTGTATGATCTGTGCCAAAGGTTTTACTAAAAAACATAATTTGACTAGACACATGGCGACTCATTAAAAAAATGTTTTTCAACCACGACGTTAGAGTAATGATCTTAAAAATAA